AACCCCCCCCCCCCTCCTATGTCCGAGTTTGTCCTGATTTTCCAAACCCCCCTCCCCCCCTCGGCTCGGACATCCTTTGTGAATGGCCCCTTATTCCAATTAACAAACGTAAGGTGGGGGAGGGGGTTTCGTAAGGGGCGTTTCCTCTGAGATCGTCGGCTCGATTTTTGCTACGGGTGCTCCAGTTTCCTGCCACAGAGAAACTTGACAGCGAGGCTTAGATACCACTACTTGAAAATACAAGGAGAACTTCAACGTTTCGAGCGTATTACGCCGTTTATTATTAGCATGACAAAATTACTGGATGCTGATTGGTTGAGAGGAGTACAATTATTTCATTAATTGTACTGCAGTACAATTAATGATTTTCCCGAAACAAACAAAATGGCGGAAATATATTTTAACAAAATACAAATGTGAAATGAAATTGCCCTAGAGGAACTAGATGAAAATACGAACACAAGCACCAAATTTTGCTTGAACAAAAGAACTAAATGAAAATACAAACAAAAGCACCAAATTTTGGTTGAAAGTCTGGCAGGACTGGGCTTTGGCGAGAGAATATGATGTTGACATTGAGAAGTATCCAAATTTGTCATGCTATAATAAACAAGTAATCATGCAATGTTGCTCGTACAATTAGGGATTAATACTACTCGTGATGTTTGGAAATTTGCCAAATTGGACTCCCCTCGGCGGCTCGTCCAATTTTGGCAAAATTTCCAAACATCACTCGTACTATTAATCCCAAATTGTACTCGCCATCGCATGATTACCTATACTAACCAAAGCGTAATACTGGATGTAATCGGTCAGGGTCGTTTAAGGAAGTGTTCAAACATGGGCATGTATAGGACATAGACAGGTACGTACCACACATTTCCTGATGTCTTTGTCGTCTCCTTCACCAAAAACTTCCTTCGCTTGAGTGTAAGCATCTTCTTTATCTGACGCTAGTTTATCGCCTTCTCTTTTTGGAGGATATGTCTATATAATAATACACAGTATGTTCAATTAAAAAACTTTATAAAGTAACTAAAACGACGTTGCAGTTTCACATGAGAAAAGACATTGTCTTTATCTGCGACTGTTCACGTGTAGATGCAAACGACGGTATGTAGATCATCCACACTTGAACAAATCCCAAAACCTTACCTCTAAAGCATTCATTCTGTTCAACAAGAATTTATATTGATCTATATCTTTATGATCTTCAAAGAAATGATGAAAGCCTTGCGCGAGTTCTAACGTCATACCAAACTTCGCCGCCATTCTAGAGAGACAAAAATAAACCTATAGAAATTTGACGTCCAAAAATAATTCAAAAATAATTATTTTAAATTCTAACCCAAAATATTAATTATAACCTGACTTGGTCCGCCCGATGTGGGATAATATATGCAAAGCGTTTCTTTTATGATCGATATAGACGCAAAATATTCAAAACGGACCAAACCATTCATAAAGACTTATGTGGTCTTCTGGGAAGACCCGCCTATTCCATTGCCCGTAAAAATCATGGCATTGAAAAGACAAACGATTGGTCCTACAGATGTTAATATTTCTATATACATATATATTAGAAATATTCCATTTCAAAAGGCACTATACAAGGTACAAGTCTACTCTGCCCAAAACTTACTTTTCCAGTAGCGGAAAATGTACGACAAATTCAGGGCAGTCCACAACGCCTTCCAGATGAAAATCGTACTTATGCCCGAATAAGGAAATGTTCTCCTTTTCCGTGAATGTGATCTTGTAACAATTGTTCTCGAAACTCATGTCTTCAGACTGTCGCACACGTTTTCTAAGAAATGCAAATGTTATCATTTTGAAAAATTAATTAAAGCCATTGATGATGAAAATAAAGAAATGTATATTCTAGGTGATCTAAACTGTGATATGCTTAAAACAGACAAAGATTCGAATTCTCCAACAAAGAAAATCAAAACATTGTATGAGTTGTATCAACTGTTACAATTGATTGATGAAGCTACCAGAGTAACTATGACAACCTCTAGTCTTATTGATCATATAGTCACCAATACACCAGAGAAAATTTCTGACTCTGGTGTTATCCATACTGGATTAAGTGACCATAGTTTGGTATTTGCAATAAGGAAAATTTCTGTTGTTAAAAAACAAGAGAAGAAAGTTGAGATAAGAAATATGAAAAAATTTGATCATCAAAAATTTGTTGAGGATCTGAGGCAACAACCCTGGGAAAATGTATACTTCTTCGCTGAAGATCCTCACGCTATGTGGGAAATTTGGAAGAAATTATTCGTAGAGGTCTTGGATAACCATGCACCACTTCAACATAAAAAGATTAGAACAAAAAAAGTTCCTTGGATTACAAGTGCTATAAAGCAACTTATAATCAGCAAGGGACAGATTAAAAAAAAAGGCCATTATTACAAACCTAGAGATAGACTGGTTAAATTACAAAACAACGAGAAACAAAGTTAATATTCAGCTAAGGAATGCTAAAAAAAATTATTACTCCACTAAAATTTCTGATCAAAAATGCAACCCTAAAGAAGCTTGGAAAACTATAAACGATATACTAGGTAGGCAAAGCAAACCAACAGTAGTAAATGAGTTAAAATTAGGTGAAAATAGTTTGACAAATACCAAAGATATTGCAGAGGGCTTTAATAATTATTTTTCAAATATTGGCCCTGATCTAGCTAGCAAAATTGATACTCCAAATTTGAACTTTCAAACATATATTGAAAAGACTAAATCAGAATTCAGTGCATTCCAGCCAGTCACTGTCAGCAATGTCTACCATCTTTTACATGGTCTTTCTAGCAACAAAGCCACTGGCGTTGATAAGATCTCCAGTAAAATTATTAAAATAGCTGCACCTGCTATTTCAGATTCACTCACATATATTTTCAATCAAGCTATTATCCTATCCATTTTCCCTCACGAATGGAAAACGGCTAGAGTAATACCTCTCTATAAAAATGGCCAACGAAACCTACCAGGAAATTACAGACCAATTTCAGTTCTGCCTGTCATTAGCAAAATTATGGAACGAATTCTGTACGATCAGCTATACAATTATTTAACCAAATTTGAACTTCTGAGTGACTGTCAATTCGGTTTTCGTAAATTTCACTCTACAACTACAGCATTACTTGACTGTACAAATGATTGGTATATGAATTTAGACCGCAAAATGTTTAACCTGGTAGTCTTAATTGACTTAAAAAAAAGCATTTGATACTGTCGACCATCAAATATTATTGAAAAAATTAGAGCTTTACGGAATAAAAGGACAAGCTCTGTCTTTTCTAGAATCATATCTCTCAAATAGAAACCAAAAATGCCAAATACAAGGATCTGTTTCATCAGAGAAATTGATCAAATGTGGCGTACCACAAGGCTCTATTTTAGGGCCCCTATTTTTTCTGTTATACATTAACGATTTGCCTCAATGCCTGGATAAAACAAAACCTCGGTTGTTTGCTGACGATACAAACCTGACAGTTTCTGGAAACTCTATTACTGATCTTGAAACTGCAGTGAATTCTGATTTGGAAAAACTTAGGAAATGGCTAATTGCCAATAAACTTAGTCTAAATGTTGCTAAGACTGAGTTTATGTTAATTGGTTCAAAACAAATGATAAAAAATATTTCAAATTTGCAACTAAACGTGAAAATTGAAAACGAGTCAATTAAACAAGTTTATGAATCCAAAACTCTTGGAGTGACAATTGACCAGCATTTATCTTGGAAAACTAACACTGAGAATATTTGCAAGAAAATTACATCTGGAATATCGGCTCTTAGACGTTTAAAAGAATTTGCTGATAAGCAAACA